CAGTAATTAAAAGGCTGACTCCATTTTTGTGGTAGGTAAATTAGTATGCCAAGGCTTAATACAAGAGAAGAACTAAAATCTCTGCAATAAGCATTACAAAATTATGTGAAATGCTAGAGGGAGAAGGCAAAAGATGAGCATTAACTCCATGGATATATGCACTATTGTAGGCTTGTTATCTTGAGAGGAAGCCATCATTGACCTGTAAAGGAATAAACTTTGATCTTAGTGTGGGCACTTCTGAAATGCAATAGTCCTCCTTTCTATTTCCCTTTCTTCACTCTTTTCCATTCTATCATTCTCTCTTCCTTATTACGTAGAGACAATTTAGTATTCCAGTTATGGTCAATGTCACTAGTTTGAAATAGGTAGAATGCACGTTTATTAAATTTAATTGTATTTTTTTAATGTTAAGGCGGGGAAATACAAAACCCAACAGCATCCACAGAAAAAAAGATAATTCTAGTTATACTTTTGAAAAAGGTAGCCTAGATATAACATACTGGGTTAAATAAAGTAAAAGGGGAAAAGAGGAAAAAAGCAACTAGTTAATAGAAAAGTGATCCATATAACTCTACTTAACAATATCAGATTAATTCAATCCTTAAGGTTCTCATTAAATCTAGACCATATATTAATGTATTAACATATTGCATTCTCTTCTCATTTTTGGGAGATAGAAACTTTTAAAAAAGAGATAACAAATTCATATCCTTGATCCATTGCAATGTGAGTTCAGTGGTGTGACTATGAAAATCATTTGATGAACATGAAAGGAAGGTGTGAAGGTGGAGAACACCAATTTTTTTTTTTTTTTTAGGGCTAAGATCTCTGGTGCTGAAAGATGGAATAACAAGATGAGACACATTGCTTCATGCAAAATTCTTTTAACTTGAACAGGAAGAGGATCCAGTTAATATTCTGGAAGCAAGTACCTCCTTTTGAACACATTTGATCAAGACAAATGTATTGGAATTCAGCTTTGCACTCACCGGCTTTCTACACCTATAAACCTATGGATCACTAGGAGTAGTAGAGTTAAAGTGATTGAATTAATTATTTTACAGTGTTTATCATCTACTCCAATCCCAAAGGACTTTGGATAGTATACAACATTCAATCACAAGAAGGTCAAACTATAAATCCTAAGTCAAACTAAAGATCCAAGATGGCCCCCCACATCCAACCAGCTGAAACTGAACCTGTACTGAAGTAATACAGAATTGACTCGCTTGCAGAAATGCAATCTTGTGGGACCTACTTATACTTTCAGAAATTTGGAGCTGATACAGAGAAGGCTGGCTGTCTTGTCCCCACCCCACCCCCATGAGCCTTGTGAGGAAGGGGGGCATTTGGTGGGTCCTCTGCACACTTACTTATTTTCCTCGCCTAAAAGACTAACTTTGCATGCCTCTGTGTAACACACCTCCAGTTGGTTAGACTGATACTCCATTGTTTCTTTCTTTCAGTTCAGCTCTTTTCTTCTTCTTCTTCTTCTTCTTCTTCTTCTTCTTCTTCTTCTTCTTCTTCTTCTT